CAGTGTGCAGTGTAACAATGATGAAATATACAATTAGTTCTTGAATGCTTCCTCTAGTTTTTGAATGCTTCCTCCCCCCCACTATCATGATCCCAATTCTAGCTTACATATCCGGCTGGATGGGAGGATGTACACTGGCACAGATAGGAACTGGAAATACAGGGAATCCAGGACAGATGAACCCCTCAGGACCAGTGATGAGAGTGGCGATACCGGGAAGGTGGAGGGAAAGTGAGGGAGAAAGGGGGAACAGATTACAAGGTCTACATATAACCTCCTCCCTGGGGGACGGACAGCAGAGAAGTGGGTGAAGGGAGATGTCAGATAGTGTAAGATATGACAAAATAATAATCATTTATAAATTATCAAGGGTTCACGGGTGACGGGGAGTGGAGAGATGGGGGGGAATGAGGAGCTGATACCAAGGGCTCAAGTAGAAAGCAAATGTTTTGAGAACGATGATGACAATATATGTACAAATATGCTTGACACAATTGATGTATGTATGGATTTTGGTAGGAGTTGTATGAGCCCCTAATAAAAAGATTTTTAAAAAAAGGTCATGTGGGAAATATGGAAGAGACTCAAAAACATAAAAAGTATGTATTTAGAAATAAATGTGTACTGGCCTTATAAGGGCTGGTGAAACCTAAAGAAACTAGTGGCATATCCGTAGTAAGCTGTAAAGTAGGGAAGTAAACTCACTCCCATGACTTCAGTTTAACTAAACAAAAGGGAACAACACTAAGCAGATGTGCACACCGTAGAATAATAAATGATTGAAATCAAAATGGCAGGATTACCTAAGGACCTAAGTTCAGAAGGGTTAAAAGGGGAAAAGAAATGAAAATAGGGCAAACATGGGGGAAATGGGAAAAGTAATACTACATTGCAGGAATTGCAAGCAATGACAAAAAACAAAATGTGTATGAATTACTGAACGGAAATGAATCTACTCTGTAAACCATCACTCAACTCATTAAAAACAAACATTAAAAATACTTGATAAATGTCCCACCATTTCAGGAGGTAGCATATAGTCAAGAACCTGAAGGCATTCGTCTAAAAGAGAAGCCAGCAAGGGAAATCCCAGGATCATTGGAAAAGCACATTCCAGATCTCTGCCTGAAGTGGTG